TCTATCTATCTATCTATCTATCTATCTATCTATCTATCTGGTTGTGCCTTGCATAAGTGACGACAATAGACCTCATTCTATTTTCTTTGTTATTATGATCACAGAATATTGCATATTTGTAAAGATATAATGACTCGTTTTCAACTAATTTGTCAGTTGAAGTATTAAAGTACAAATTACTTTGTTATTAAAAATGAAACCCAGTGCAATCGGTTTATCTTTCATAGACCAGTACATCTGAAAGGTCATGGTTATAATCTGATGAAATGTACAAAATTGAAATGCAAGGTACTGCATGCATTTCTGCACTACTTTTCTCTTACTGGGTGCTTCTTCTCACACAGTGTTGCGAGATGACTTCAGACAGAATCCATCTGATGTGGTGGTGGCAGTTGGAGAGCCAGCAATACTTGAATGTGTCCCTCCCAGAGGTCATCCTGAACCCACCATCTTCTGGAGGAAAGACAAAGTGCAAATCGATGACAAGGACGACAGGATAACCGTAAGTATTGTTATAAATCATTTATCCAGCTGTTCCAGCAACTGTTATACCATAAACCTCAGTATATTTTAGATAAATTTAATTGTGTCCAATGAACAGTTGTGTAAGAAGAGGCTTTTATGTTCTAATGCTTAAGATTTCATTCAACAGTCGCAATTATTAAATACTAAGACTCCTTCAGTGTGGTTTTTATTTCCAAAATAATTCCAACAGTTCCATGAAGGTCTCAGACTTTTGTGGAGGCATTTAGTGAATATACTGCACCGTAACCTTAGCAACATACTAAAACCACACATCTTGTGGAAGCAGTTGAAAAGAAACTTAAAGATGAGTTATATTATAAATCAGTATCTCAATTTATGGAAATTCCACTGTTTGATCTATCATCTGGAAAAATAAAAGGACACCACTGGAGTATAATATAAAAAAATATATAAAACAGTGGTGAAAAAACAAAACACTTACTGTTGGGAGAAAACCATAAGAAGTCTTGCATCTACATGTAACACCATGTTGAAACATGGTTATGGCAGCACCATGCTATGGGGATGCTTTTCTTGTCTAAGGGTAGCCAGTTAGAGAGGATGAAAAGATTGATTGGGGAAATAAGGCCTGTCATTGAACAGTACTTTTTAAAGGTTGAAATATACCCCTGGGGCTTGCAGAGAATTGCAATACTTGTGTCCCCAAATAAATTTACATAGAAAGACTTTGCTCTGTTACAAACATCCAAAATAGTGATTCACAAAAGACTACTATGTTTAATCATATTTTTTTTCCTCCTTTAGATCCGAGGAGGGAAGCTCATGATCTCAAACACAAAAAAGAGTGATGCTGGCATGTATGTGTGTGTGGGCAAAAACATGGTTGGAGAGCGGGAGAGTGAGACGGCTCAAGTAACAGTGTTTGGTAGGCAACATTTCCATATTCTCCTTTTAATTTCTACCTGCTTTTTGCCATGGAGGCATGACATCTATCAGAGTTATTGCATATTTCATGAAAATTATACCTTTGGCCAAGTGCCCACAGAATTATATTTTAAACCCTTTCTAGCAGACTTGTCATGCTAGGTTTCACTGTTTTAAGCACATTTATTGATTTTAGATGTTTGAAGTTCCTATTATGTTCTTATGATATTGTATAAAGCTAAAGTGAAATGGATCAATCAGGCTAGTTGGAAGTTTGCTTTTTTCACCATTGGGTTCAGGGTACTATTCCAAAATGTTTTTTGCAGAATGTTGATTGTTGTAAAACAGACACAATATGAAAATTTTGGAAAAAATATGAAATTGTTTATGAAAGATGATCCTGTTAGAGAAATAGAGTAGATAAAAGAAGATGCCAATGTGTCTCTCTGCCCATCTTGCAGAGCGACCAACCTTCCTTCGGAAGCCAATCAACCAGGTGGTCTTAGAAGAGGAGCTGGTTGAGTTTCGATGCCAAGCACAAGGAGACCCCCCACCAACTGTTCGCTGGAGGAAAGATGACATTGATGTTCCTCGTGGGAGGTACTTTATCTGCTTTGAAGAAAATATTAAAAGAAAAAAATCTCTGATTTCAGAACTGATGTGACAGACTAAATTTAGTATTGCAGTAACAGTACCACAGTCAGTTAGCTCTGCGTAAGCTGAACTTATTTCAAATCATGCATTTAGGGGAAAATTAAAGTACCACAAGTTTGGGGTCTATGTTCCCTCTTTTTTTAAACTATGCTGAATAACAATACATTTTTATAATACAAGATAAAATGGTGTCAAAGGTAGTTTGGCAGGATAACTGATTTTAAAAAAAAAGTGTAAAAAACTGCTAAACATAAGTCAGATCGTTTAAATAAAAATTTTGAGACAGCAAAATATTTTTTATTTTTTTATTTTACATCAGTCATCCATCCATTCATCTTTTCCCACCTAATCTGTCAGGGTTACAGTGGCATTGGTGCCTATCTCCAGCAGTCTATGTTTAAAAGGAGCAACTCAGAGACAGACAGACACATACAGCTATTCATACACAAACAGGAGTCCCCGGAGAGAACTCACACATGCACGGGGAGAACATGCAAAAAGATTAAAAAACCAAGATGGTTCTGGAACCTATGTCTAAAGTTAATGAGGGAGTTTTTATGAAGAAGAGAATTAAAAGAATAGTACACCCAAAACATGATTAGCCTTCATTTTCTACTCACCCCCATGCTGAACAACACTCTGGAGTACTTTTTTGATATCTCAAAT